GATCGCCCTCGAAATCTAAATTTATATAAAATCTACGCCAAATTAAGCTTATGCTAGTTTGCGTGATATTTTACATGCTGTGTTGTTAATACGCATATTAAAACTGATAAACTCTGTAGGGAAATGTTTTGTGTGTATTATTAATCGATTTCACATAATACGAACTTCACCCAGATATCCTGAAATCCTACCGTTCATTCTCGGTTGTCATGTACGTAATTAATACTCCTGAGTACTGAAGTTGATTTTCTCAGCACAGTTTTCGAAACTATTTCAGCAGTAGTTCAGATTTTTACTTATTTCTTTCAAACCTGTAGAAAAATGGAGCCGTGCTTGATGCATTGTTCATATATATAAAAGGTACTATCGTGTTACGCGTAACCACCTTAATAAAAGTCGCCAAATTTTTAGACTTTGCGAACTTCTGGCAGCCATAAGCATAACCATACTTCCGGCTACCATGTCCGCAACAAATTTTCATTTAAAGCAACGTCGCTAAGTTCTAATGATTTGTATAAACAAACCCTGATATTTTGCACCTTAATTTTAAAACATGTACTTGTGGAATTTGCCAGAAATGGAAGAAACTTTGGCAAACTGTCTGCAGCAATACAGAATTTTGCTGCAAAAAATCTAAAGGGAACAAACAAACAGGACATATGTTTGGTAGATAGCCAGTGTTGTCGATGTTTGCGTGATGCTAAAGTCTCGCTGCCATTCTGTGATGACTTTTAAGCGAAAACAGAGCGCTGTATACTTAGGGAGAAAAACAGCGCAAAGAAATTACAGAAACATTTGAAGACGAATGTAGGGTTTCCTTTTTATTTTGTCGCGTAATACTTCTTTAAAAATTAAAATTTGTGTTTCAAATTGCTATACAATGTTGACTTTTCATATGTTGATAATGCTTGCCAGCTTACGATAAATATCGGTAGTTTGCGGATCCTTTTTAGGAAATCGCAAATACTACCAATTTCCAACTCATGAATAATTTTATGTTTCCATCTATGAAAAATTGCTAAATTGCGCCAACGTGGTTTCGATAATACGTAAATTTGGTTTGGTTTATGTGATTATAGCAAACCCTCGAGGTTTATCTGCCTGATGGAGGAATTCCTTTATGGAGGACTTTCTAAGGGAAACTAGCTCGTATACACCTTACACATACGAAAAAACCACGAAAACGCTCATCCAGCCAGTCCGTCCGCGGGATTCGAACCTCGGACCGAACTACTCGTGTTCAGCAGCTTTACCGCTCGACCGCTGGTGGGCTTGTTAATACGCAAGTATCGAAATTCAAAACTAAACAAAATGCAATAAATAAATATGAATTGCTATAAAAATACATTAAAAAACTATATAAAAACAATATACAACGCCACAAAAATACATAAAACCTAAATTACTCGTAAAAATACAAATATTTGCATAAATTTCTTACTAAATTAATATTCTTCCTAAATAATCAGATGAATGCCGCATCATCAACTAACGTATTTTAAATGAAGAAAAAAATAATAATTCTGCAAAGTATGGTATGTATAGTGTTAAAGACTTCTTTTATAAATTACAATAATGCTGCATATTTTCCTAAAATTATCATGTTGGATTATATCATAAATTATATCTATTTAAATTGTATCACTCAAATTTGTTGCCTCCCAAAAAAGATTTAAATTATTGAGAAATCATGATTGTTATTTTCTAATAAGTCAAATAGTTAAAGAATTATGAGTTGGTTAAATAGTTAAAGCATTGTGGGTGGTGAAGCTAAATTAAGGATGAAAACACTCTTTTGTACGGTAACAGTTTGAGAAGTGGTATTTGTAAATATAAAGTTCTTTTGTTTATTACCATTACGAAGCATAGTCAGTCGGTAATAAGGTAATATTGCATAGACCAATATTACGTTGTGGCAAGTAGAGAAAAGCATTAAACATGATAAACCTTTTAAATCACCGGTTCTCAAACTATGGGTCTTTCACTTGCCAACTGAATGCAATAACACTTAACACTACGACAACAAGCACGGTCGAATGTGATAAATCCTTACATTTCCTATAAACAACAACAGTTTTTATCTTACTAGCATTTAATGGCTCGAAGAATTTGTAAAAATTCCGCTAAAGGCATTATTAATATAAAAAATGTCGAGCTGTTCCTGAGCTCAAATAACTACGAAGTCATGCGCTGTGCAGTAAATTACATGTAGAGCAATGCATATTAAAAACACTTGGAGTCATTTATTTTCGCATTGCGATGTCAGCATTAATTTTCAAATCATACCTACTTTAAAGATTTTAAGATACATATTTCATTTTAGTAATGTGAAATTGAGATGCATTTACATAAAAATATCTTGAAATCTCCGATTCAATTCTGTAAAAAAAAAAAAATACAAAAAGATGTTTCTGGTTTCTCGAAATTTCCTAAAACACACTCATTAATGAAATATTCAATCCATTACAACAAAATCTCCGCAAATATCCATTCCTATTTTGCATTTTTGAAGCGGAGCGGAAAAATAGATCGCTTAAATATGTATGAGAATGAAGGTAATACGCTCTGACATACAAATATAACAGGAAAGATTTAAGACCCCCGAATCCTTGGTAGCTAAGAGATAAAAACCAAACAACAAAAAAGGTATTGATGCATTAAACCATTTGCCTGTATTAAAGACACGTGCAAGTACTTGCGCAACTTCTCTTTTCGAATTCCGTAAGGGATAATGCGTTCATTTAAATACTTAATGTATTTTCGGACATTAAAGGAAAAATTCTTTAGTACAGATTTCAGTTTGGAGTCCAGTTTTGAAATCTTTTCCCCCATTACGTTCGATACACATTTTTCCCGTATACTAGAAAAAGTAATGATTCCTGCTGTGCCATACTTTTACTACCCATTCGGCCCAGGCTGGAATGAAAAATTTAGAACGATGAAATCGGAAGTAGTTCCCCGCTGCATTATTTTCCGACACGAGCTTGCTTTACATTCGAAGATAGTCATGGAAAAGAAGCACTGCGCGCATCCATTTTTACTCGAGCTACTCCCTCTCAAAAATATTACCTTTCTTCTATCAAACTGCGTTCGGAATAGGAAAGTTTTAATCCATTCTAAGCAAAGTGAGACATATACATTTCCGAAACCTTTGCTCGAGATCGGATTACAAACTTTTCATTAATCTTCGGAACTTGAGAGAATATTGAAGAAAAATATCGAATGATTTTACTTTTTAGTCTCACAGAATAGAAATATATTTTAAATATTTTTGACGTTAGAAGCGCTTTCAGACGAGTCTTTTCAAATTGTTTTAAATCTTTGTTTATAAACCTTTACGCTAGCATGTATTTATCATTCACGCAACTTGGCAAAACTTGCACTGCGTGAAAACTGAAACTTTGTAATTTATCTTTAACTTATCCTGGCTAATAAGCAGTTTCCAGAATTTCAGCATTCCGAATTTTACGATATAATTATCTTCCAAGTTCTAATTATTTAACCAACGCAATTTCCTAGCGCTAGCAAGATAAAAACTGTTGTCGCTTAAGGGAAATATTTACCTGAAGCTCTCTTTTTCTAAATTATTCATTGGGAAAATGCACAAAGTTATGTCTTGAATAATTAAGTATTTCCTTTTATAAATAATGCAAAGATTTCCATCTAGTTTCCGTTTATGATTATATAGCATCATAGCAGTTGTTTATGGTACCATTTGCCACCGCCACTTCAAACAGTTCATTTTAAATAAATCATTTTTCCAAAAGATTTCACTGTCTTCCAGAGACTTGCATTCCTAAACTTATCCTATTGCTTCCACTTGAACCAAGTTTTATATCATAATTTGTAATGGAAATCTGAAAATCAGCCTGTAGTTTGTTTCAATTTCATAACTTTATTTTCAGTTGATGTACTCGTTTTCCCTATTTCTAATTGTAAATTCTTCTCAGAAATACTGAACTGTACTTGATAGTTAGTTATAAAACTCCAATTGCTTTTAACTGAAATAGAAATGACTATGTGTTAAAGCAAATTTAAAATAACTGCATAGATTCTGTCGAGGATAGTTTGGTTTATTTAATAACGGCAAAGCACGCGAGGACAATCTGTTTGTGAGGAAGGATGCCTTTCCGGAGGAAATTTTAAGGGAAGCTGATTATATCGAAGAAATCCAAGAAAATGCCCATGCAACCAGCCTGTTCCACCTAGAATCGAACCAAGGTCGAATTAAAAGTATTTAGTGCCTTTCTGCTCAGGCGCTGGTAGTCTTTTCTATCAACGAAAGAGCACTTTACAAATTTCGTTTTCAGAACGTAAAAATATTGGATCTTTTACGTTCCAGTATAACACGCATTGAAAAAATTTTCAGAGAATGATATATTCGCCAACACTGGCTATTGGCAACAGTTAAATGTATTGTTAGTTATTGTATCTTACAGCAGTGTTCTTATTTTGAAACTAAGTACTACTAATAAAAATGTTTAAGTTGAATCACTTTATTTTCTTCTTTGGTTATTCAAATAGCTTAAGCAAGAGATATGTTTCTGTTTTTTTAAAAAACATTTAGTGTAGTCAAAATTGAGTTGGTGACAAAAGTTGGAAGAGTCAGCTGAATCACAATTTCTTTTAAAGAAAATTGTTTGGTGCGTGTTGCCATATTTTAAAAAATATATATTTGTCAAACTTTAAGCTTTTAGTTGAAATAAACACATTAAACGAAAAAATAACATTCCCTCGCTCGAATCAAAGTGATTGTATTTTTATTTTGGGGAAACACGATAATCCAATAAAACAAATTATCTTACTTCGATCAAAGTGATTCAAAATTTGGCTTACGGAACGAAAGTAGCCCCATAACCCGAATTTTTTGATCGATCGAATGAGAGAATTCGAAGTCTCAATAATCAAAGCTCTACCGTATTTGAAAACCAACAACAAATAATAAAACACTGTCTGTGAAATGTTTCTTTTCTAACATAAAAATCAATAACTAGTCTTACCTCCGAAACTATACTATCCACATTCCCCAGCCAACTCCTGTTATACAACCATCCATGTTCACATTCAGAAAGGTCACGGGCGAGGAAATCCATGGATCTCTTCCTAGCTACCTTTCGATGCTTGCTTAAAACAACATATTCCAGTGTATGGTTCACGAAACATTGAGTATGCCATATTTCTGCGTTCTTGTACACCTTCACCATGTTTGAGCGAATATTCAAATATACGGCCTCGTCATCGGGGCCAACCCGAGGGATCCTACACCAGTGGTCAGGAGTCCAAGAAGCCACGAGTTGGCAATACATATGGGTTCCGTAAGGCAGCTGCGATGGCAAGAACACCAACCAGAAGAGCAGCTGTTGATACCGGCCATAATCACCAGCCTGCTTCAGTTCGAATTCTGCATCCAACATAACTGCTCTCGAACTCTCAAAATTCTAAGCGAAATAGAACAGAAGACGCCACCGCCGCATGAAGGGGCGTCATCGCATCAGGGCGTCCACCTTTCGTTTGAGGCCCTTTCGTGACGGCGACGGATCGGTCAATTACAGCGAAGCCAGAAAAACCATTTCTTGTTGTTTTTAGTAGCAGATTGATGTGTGAGGGTAAGCACGGCAAATAGCGCCACCTAGAGCACAGCAGGGAATGTTTATCAAATTTAAGTGCTGCTGCTTTCAAAAACAAATATTCGTAATGATAATAGCAGAACAAATACAAGTTACCTAGATGGCTGAAATATGTGCTAGAAAGCAACTTTTGAAGTTAAAGGACTGCAATTACAATTTTATATCTATCTGATGGTTCAATAAAACAATTTCTAGTGATAATAATACATTTTTAGCTTGCAAATATTCGTTTTATTTTATTAATTTAACAGACACAAGGGAAAAAAACTTATATTCTTCCTGAAATAGCTGAGCCTGATAATTACAAGTTCATTGATCTCAAAAATTTTACAAACAACTGCACATTTGTTACTAATACCAATATAAATATCTATTAGTTAACTCTAATAGCAAATAGTAATAATTAATAGGAATAGTGTAAAAGTGACCAGAATATGTACAGCGTATTAAGCGTGTAGTGTAGAAATAGCTTTGAAATATACTACTTTTAGTGCAATAAGTAATAATACAGTACTTTGTCAAATTATTCTAACCTTAGAAAACGATCTCTCAAGGCAAGTTTGAAAAGACATAAAAAATGGCAAATTTTCAAATAAAATACGCCGCTCAGTTGTCGTACGGTAATCAAACTTCTTATAATTTTATACGAAGTAAAGGAAGTATTGTAATCACGAAAAATTCCGGGTACCATATTTCAACAAAAATATCCATGACTGCTATCGAATGCAATTTAACGATGTTTTTGAGTGATATCTGTACGTAAGGACAGAATAAAGGAATCTTTTTCCCAAAACGAATTATAAAACTAATTTAAAATATATTCAGAAGCGACTTTTTCGTAGCGTCTGTACGTATGTATATATATATCTCGCATAACTCAAAAACGAGTATCCTCAGAAGGTTCAAATTTTGTATACAGGACTGCTATAACATGTAGATGTGCAACTTTCAATTTTGGTTGCAATCGGCCGCACCAAAAGTATATATATATCCACTCAGTTACTAGGCTCAGTGAGTTGAGTTTCATTATTCTTATATGTTTGTAAAGTGTGCATTTGTTTCTTTAACCATGATTGAATTATGTTGTTCTTATCTTCAGTTTAAAATTTTTATGCCTTTAGTTAACCTGCATGTTATAGTTGTAGAATTATCAACAATTTAAAAGTTGTTTAAGTGCGCCTAAGCCTATTTTTTATCATACCAGCCATATTTGTTTATATTTGAAGCTTAGCATAATAGTGGATTTGTTGATAATGTAGAGAAACTAAGCTTCGCCACAACAAAGTAATGTCTTCTTTTATTATTACGAATTAAATTATGCTTAATCTATTCTGAAATTATCAGTTAAGTTACTAAATTATCCCATATATTAACACAACATAAATTCCATAGCAAATGAAATTAGTTTCTACGCCTTCAGTGTCTTTTCGCCGAGTGAGACCAAAATTAAACTTTCAGTTTTATGCACAGAAAAATCTGCCTTCTTGCCCGCTGTCTGAATTACTTGTTTTTGTGTAGAAAGTGTAATTTTAATTGTTTTAACTGTAGTTGGTGTTTTATGTTCTTCTGTATCTTTCAATTTTTAATATAGATATTTTGAGTTTTTATGTATTTTTGCTATTTTTGTCTTGTCGCGAAGTGAGAACTGAATAAATTATAGCAGATTATTGGAATTGTTACCAATCTAGAGAAACTAAGCTTCCTATCAACAAAGATAACGTCTTCTTCTATTATTGCGAATTAAATCATGCTTAATAGATTCTGGAATTATCATTTAAATTATTAAATTATCCCATATATTTATTCAGCATAGCGTCCACAACAAATTAAGTCAGTTTCTGAGCTTTCGGTGACCTTTTGCCGAATAAAACCAAAAGTAAACTTTCAGTTGCACCGAAATATCTGCCTTCTTGCCCGCTTGTCAAATTGCTTGTTTATGCTTAGAAACTTTAATTTTAATTGTAAAAATTGTTCTTTAAATTGTTTTAGCTGTATTTATGTTTTATTTTTTTCTATATGTTTTAATTTTTAATATAGATATTTTGGGTTTTTATGTATTTTTGCCTTGTCGCGAAGGGAGAACCGAATTAATTGAATGAGGTTAGGTTATTTAATTACGGCAAAGCCTCGAGGGCTATCTGCCTAAGGGGAAGGATGCCTTTCGTGGAGGAATTTCTAAGGGAAACTGGCTCGTATACACGTTACACATGGGGAAAACCACGAAACCACCCATGCAGCCAGCCCGTTCGCGGGATTCGAACCTCGGACCGAACTACCAGTGTTCAGCGACTTTACCGCTCGGCCGCTGGTGGGCACTAATTGAATGAGAAATATATATCTGAGGAAAAAGTTTAAACGAAATGCAGAAAAAAAATGCGTATAATTTAATATTCCTTACTAGAAAGTAATATGGTGTTCACATCTGAATTGTTTTTTCATAACGATTATAAAATTTTAAAATCTTGACAAATACAAGTACAGAGACAGCGTTAAAAGTTACATTCCGCTATTTGTCTAAAATAATTTACTTTTAAAATTTGGCTGTGCCAGAACATGACTATTTTCGCCATTTAAAATACTTCTGTAATTAGAAATATATAACTACGCCCAACGATTGGAAAAATAAAGACTGGGTAAAGACATCTAGGTCGAGTAGGGTGTGATCGTGATGTATATAACTTAGAACGTAGATGTTACAGCAGTCCCATATACAAAATTTCAACATTCTACGGCTAATCATTTTTGAGTTATGCGAGATACATACATACGTATGTACAGACGTCACTAAAAATTCCCTTTTGAATCCACTTTAAATTCATTTTACAATCCATTTTGAAAAAGAGTCGGTTCTTACGTATTACTGCAATCACTTGTCGATCTAGCATTTTTTTAGAGATTGAAAGATAAAAGCTACTTGTCAACTGCAAGTTGGTGGTTTTCGCGCCAATTTTTTTATGATAGGTTCTATCGTATTTCGGTAACTATTGCTAACATGTAAAAGGAAAACATACTTCAGCAATTTAAAATGTAAACTTAAATTATTGAATAAGGATTTGATAAATAAATTGACAAATAAAAATTGAACATTTATATTCTTCACCATCTGCTTCTGTCATTTTTTGTGCTATTCTTCTCCAGAAGTACACAGCGACCTGTTTTAGCTTAAAAATGAACCAGAGAATTGTGAGGCCTCGGCATTGGGCAATTCTTAGCAACAGCGAATGTCTAAGAAATGCATTTCCTTGTTGTTTGCTTAAAACATTTTCAGCAAAATTCTGTATTCCGGCAGAAATTTTACCGCAGTTTCTTCCATTTCTGGCAAATTCCATAAGCTCATATTTTAAAACTAAGTTTAAGGCAAGAAATATCACGGTTTGCTTATAATAACCTTTGCAACTTGGAATACATCAATAAAGAACACGCACTAAAGCAGCGGCGTTGCTTGACTTATAGAGTTATGAGTATGGTTGTTGGAAGAGTTATTATGCGCATGGTTGCCAAAGTTTGCCATATTCTGAAGATCTGGCGAATTCTATTTAAGGTGGTTGCATTAATACGTAAGTACCAAAAAGTCCTTTATTCTGTCCGAACGTACAGACGTCACGTTAAAAAGCGTTCAAATGGATTCAAAAACTGTCAAAATATATATTTCCGTTGAAATATGATACCTGAAATTTTTCACAATTACGACGGTTCTTTTACTTCGTACAACGAAGTTAAAAATTTTATGATGTTACTTAAGATAATGTAGATAAATTTTCTTCTCAAATTCCGCAAAATGACAAGCTGCTAAATCGCATCATTTGTTATATTTTATTAACCATATCACCTAGAGCTATATGCGTAAGAGAAAATGATTTCGTTGAGGATATTTAAAGATAATCTGGTTCGCATTTGCATTGCCCATCGGGAAAATTGGTGATTGATAATAAGCTAAGACGTGTATGTGCCACGATCTTTGCTATCCAGAACATCTCCTAGAGGCAACAAGAGTGTCACTTCTCGAGTTTATGTATTTTGAGTATAAAATTTTGCAGGCCGCCCCATCGGGATAGTGGTTAACGACGTTGACTGCGAATTCCGGAAAACACTGGATGTTTGTAAATGTATAGCGTCTGTGCGGCATAAGGGCACTCTAAATATGCGGCGAGCCGGAAGCCCTCTCGAGAGGTTGTAGTAGATGAAGAGCAATGAGAGACTCTCGGACCCGTCCCGATTTAAAATACAAGCTATTAAGTGATAATGATTTGAAGACAGTAAAATCTAGCGTAGTGCATTAAACTGCTTAAAATTTAGGCTTTCCAGCCAAGGCGTAAGATTTAATGGAAATTAAGCTTAGAACATTACGTTTAGTCTTGAAATAGCGAGTCATTGAGGTCTAGTGCTTTTAATTTACTAACATCCAAGACTTGGGTTAGCAAGTAGTTGCTGAAAACTATGCATTCTCACACGCATTCCCAAACATTGCAAAACTGAAGAGCAGGATGAGAAATTGAGTATAAAGGGGAAAAAAGATGTAAAAATGTATGAAATTTGAAATATTTAAGCGCTATACAATTTTTTCTTCTAGATGCCTGGATGGAGATGAGATTGAACTAAATTGAGATGACACGAAAATCTTTCCAGTGAAATAGAAACTTAAAAAAAAAATTAAATTTACTTTTAGACATTTAACTTCATGTTCGTAAAAGTTGACTCCTGTTGTAGGTTATAATTTAATATCCTCGCAATCTTCATTGCAATTACTTAAATTCTGGTGGGGAAAGGGTAGGGAATTAAACGTTAATTAACCAGTTATTTATAATTTCAGCCGCCTTAACCGTAACTTCTTCTTTTCGTATTCCTCACCATAATGCAAATGAGTAGCGAGTATTTAAACTGATGTTTTTGATTTGAAGACGC